TTTCTTGACATTGAGATGCAATTCATACCGAAGGCTGTGCTAAGTTCAGGGAAAAAATTATGAGTTGTAACCAACTCCACGGTACTTAACAACAACAACATATTATTATTTCTATACCATCACATTTAAATGATAGCTTAGCTGCATATAAAAGCTTAAAAGAAAATTGTTTCTATACTTCAAAAATATTGCTCCATTGTCTTCTTGCGTTTAGTGTTACTGTGGAGTAGCCTGTTAACAATCTGATTGTTTTTCCTTTTAAGTGATCTGACATTTCTCTGTTAAAGCACTTAGAGTATCTCTTTTACATTTGATATTCATTTTCTCCATAATATCTGTTGTTGTTGTTGTTGTTGAGTGCCATGAGTTGGTTTCAAACGATCACAACCCTGTATAGGGTTTCCTAGGAGCAGCTGGTGAGCTTGAACCACCGTCCTTGCAGTTCAAACCAATTTTGGAGTCCAGATGTCTCTTTTCAGACATCTCTGCCATCTTCTGAGACTTATTGATTTGAATTTTCTAGTAAACAAATCTTTAGCTATGTTCCCCGTGCTATTTTCTTTTCCTAGAATTCTAATAAGTTCTTTTCTAATTGCATCATATATATTTTATTTGTAAGATGTGCAACCCTATTTGCATTTGATTGGTAGACATGAAGGCTAAATGGTGTCTTCCAGGCCCACATCTGCTTTCATCAACTGCTTACCTCCTAAGAGCTTGTTTAACTTTGTTTTGTTCCACAGTATCTATGCCTGTCTTGTCACTGGCTGTGACTTCTTCTAGAGATAAGAGGTAAACAATCCCTGTGCCAAGACATAGCAGAGGGGGTGGGCCCCCCTTGGTAAACTTTCTGCATGGTGACACAGACGTAAAGACAAAAGTGACTCAGGCCTGGGCAGCAGTGGGGAGAAGTGGTTGGATTTGAATAGACTTGGAAGATTAGTCAATATAGAGTGGGAGAGAAAAAAAGATTGTATAGGTGATTGTGTAGCAAGTTGGCGTTGTTTTTGCCAGAAATGGAGGACTTGGAAGGAGCTAATCTGGAAATGTCTGTGGTCTTCAGATAGGAGTATGACAACACTTAGTCTGGTTTCATTTTCATTTCTTATAAATGCAGTGATCAACAATTGGTCCGTTCCTCTAAAGTATGGGACACAGATAAGAGGTTTGAGAGCTTTCTGCTGTCTCTCACACTCAGAGGAGAGGCTCTGCAGCGACTACAAGAACACACAAGACTTGAACTACACAGGGGAGGAAAGATCTGTGAGCAGCTTCTCAACTGTGTGCTGCAGGGAGCCCTTCACCATACACAAGATTTTTTTTACCAGTTCAGCAGGAACACTCTGAGCTTGCCCTTGACACCAAGAATCTCTTTTTTCCCTGGAACTGGTGAGTGAGAAATTACACTGGACCTGTACTGGCCAGACAATGACTTTGTTGCTCAGAGAACTGAGGGAAGAAAGGGCAAATGAACATCTCTGGTTTCATCAAAGCAGGTGGCTCAGAGAGTGAGAGGAGGGCAGAGAGACCATCTGGGACAGGGCAGGCAGTCCTAATGGTGCCTGGGAGGAAAGAAAGACCCCTAGGTACCTGTCTCTCAACCTATTTGTTATAAAGTTGTTGTGATTTGGATGAAAGCTAATTCCATTTCCATTCTACAGTACATACACGTTTTGGTTTTCATGGCACTGACAAAATGTGTTGTGACAATGTAACTGCACTCTTCCTACTTGTGTTTCTCATTTCCATTTGCTGTTCTTCATTGCCCCTTCCTGCATACTGAGAATTGTCTCTCTCTGAGCAAATGCTGTCCTTTTTTGGTCTTCTGTGGTTGATTATTTGAAGGAGTACATACCACCTTGGTGCTATTTTTCATCTTATAGGCCAATGGAATGTTTGGCTGAAAATTACTCCACTGGGGTGAGTTCAGTTTTAAGACAGATGAGAGTTTAAAGACCATAGTCTCACAGATTCCACCAACATGTATCCATCCAGTAAACTTTTTAGTTCTATTCCAAATTTTCTCCCACTCTTCATGAACTTCTATTGTGATTCCAATCAGAGTGGTTGTTAGTGGTTGCTGCCCACCTTCTAGTCCTTCTGATATCAGGTAATGAGGGCAATACCTCTTGAGTTTTCTGAGCCTTCATCTGAAGATTGTTGTTGTTATTAGGTGCCATCGAGTCAGTACTGACTCATAGCAACCCTATGCACAACAGAATGAAACACAGCCCAGTCCTGAGCCAACCTCACAATTGTTGCCATGCTTGAGCCCATTGATGGTGCCACTTGGCAATCCATCTCGCTGGAGGTCTTCCTCTTTTTCTTTGACCCTCCATCTTACCAAACATGATATCCTTCCCCAGTGACTGGTCCCTCCTGACAATATGTCTGAAGTATGAGAGACGAAGTTCGGTCATTCTGGCCTCCAAGGAGCACTCTGGCTGCACTTCTTCCAACATAGATCTGTTGGTTCTTTTGGCAGCCCATGGCACTTTCAATATTCTCCTCCAACACCATAATTCAAATACATCAACTCTTCTACAATCTTCCTTATTCACTGTCCAGCTTTCGCATGCATATGAGATTATTGAAAATACCATGTCTTGGGGTCAGGTGCAGCCTAGTCCTCAAGCTGACATCTTTGCTCTTCAATGTTTTAAAAAAGTCTTGTACAGCAGATTTGCCTAATGCAATACATTGTTTGATTTCCATCTGAAGATAGGAATGGATAAATCTCCTTATAAGGATATTAAGAGAATGAAATGAGGAATAGATGTATAGATACATATCTAGACCTTCACCAGTAAGGGGTTATTTTTCTTCCCATTTCTTTCTTGTCACATGCAATGGAAACAGTCTCAGAAGCTGGAGGACTAGATCCTGGGAACCTTCAAAGAGCCTGCATCAGTGACCCCACCCTGCTTTTCAAAGCATAAAACAACAGTAAATAGAAACTCACATACAACCTCAGCTGAGACGCAAGGTCTGAAGTACAGGATAGGGTTTCTGTGTGATAGAAATTTTCTAAATATATAGAATTTTTACTTCTCCTTCCACTTGTGTGAAAGAGAATTGTGTGAGTGATTTCTCACAGATGGGAGGATGGCTGTTGCCTGTAATGGAGGAGTGTACCAGAGTTAGGTTTTAGTGGAGTTTATTTGATCAAGATTGTCTTAGATTTGCAAATGGGAAATGAGTAAATAATGGCATTTTGGGATATGGAGTTCAGGGGTGAGGAGAGGACTAGAGATACAAATATGTGGGAATAGCTAGTAAATAAATACTCGGTCTTTGAATCATGGAACAGATTGTGACTGTAGATAGAGCAGAGGTGGGACTAGATCATGGACACCCCATATTTAAGGTCTCAACTTGCAGGAGGTGTATGCCAAACACCACTTTTTCAGCCTCACTCACTTCCTTTTTTAAATAACAAATTGATCATTTGTCTGATTTCTTTTTCACTTATGAAATGAGAAGCCTCCTCATTATTCGATTACCATTTTATGGCCTTAAGCTAAATTTGGTGGTGGTGGTATAAGCCGGTAGAGTCAGTTCCAACTCACAGGGACCCTGAATAGGGTTTCTGAAGCTGTACGTTTTTACAGGAATAGAAAGCCTCATCTTTCTCCCACAGAATGTCTGGTAGGTTAGAACTGCTGACTTTGAGGTTAGTAGGTTGACTCATTACCACTATGCTACCAGAGCTCCTAAGCTATTTACAAACACATTAAAAATCCTTTGTCTCTTTGATGCAGTCCCTGATGATAAGTGAGCAGAACTTTTCTTACTCTTCTTCCTTTTTCACTTTTAGTATGACAATTAGTTTTTATTTTAAATAATTGGCAAAGTTCTCACCTGCATAGAAATATAAAAAGTGTTGGGATGAGGGGTTTTGTGAATGGGATATTTTGAGGAGTATGTCAGGAGATCGTGTATTAGAAGATAGTGTATTTGTGACACAAATCTGAGAAACATGAAAGTCAGTGTTGGCTTAGGAAGCCACAACAGAAAATCCAAGAGAGAAAGGGCT